ATTTACCATTAAAAACAGTTCAGAAAGTGCTTCTCAATGCATGCGGTATGCAATCTTGTTGGTTCAGCTGCATCAGACTACGCTATCTCAAGTCTCGAACTGTCATGTCCCGCCTAAAGTCTGCTCTGGCCAATGTCCAAGCTCATCGAGAATATCAATGGATCCGGTCAAATTGATCGATAGTAAAAAGACGGTTGATCTAGATATATCGCAAGCATCATTGGGCGACTTTGTATAGTCATTTTGTTTGGATAGACGTACATCCATTGGTCATAAAGTAATGGAAGACGTGCCGCCATCTCTGCACTCTATACACGGTGTAACTGGGTACCACGACTTTCCGATTGCATCAACGAATCACATGGATTATGCTGGTGGTGGTGTATGGATTGACACCAGTGTGCCTCCACCGCGTATAGTGAAGCCTTGTATATCAAACGCAAGTAAGCGGATTTTACTCATAGATGAAAATGACAGCAACCCAGCGCCTTCTATCAATGCGTTAGGTAATCAGCAGCCCATTAGTGACATGATGCTGAGGACGCAACCCAACTCTCCAGGTCCCACAAGCTATTAAAACAATCATTTACTCTTTTCCTCGAACCATTTACTAGAGGGCCATACTCAGTCGCAACCCCCTTCGCTGTGGTCACCTCTAAATCATTTTCCACCGTTGGCAACATACGCACTTTTTCAACAATTTCTAACCTGGGTCCAGGCACACGGCTTGAAACCGCAGTGTTTAGAACACAGCCTAAACAATCTTCCTCATATCTCACATCGATCTCAGTATTTTGATAAACATTCGTTCTCTTCAATTTAAGCTCTACACACTACGCTCATTTGTTTTGGTGAATAAGCTTGATATAATATGTATTACTGAATCTTGATGTCATGATGATATGTCTGACAATCAGTTAATTATTTTCGGATATGACAAGTTTATGAGAAATCGGCCTAGTCGTCGAGGTGGTGGATGTGTAATTTATCTGAAAAATTCGCTCGCAGCAGCAACGTTCGAGAACCCAATGCTGAACGATATCCAGGAATCACTATGGCTTACGATATCCGTTAATCAGCAGCAGCTGTTTATGGGATGTGCTAAACTGCAGCCAAGAAGACCTAGAACTTTTGACGCTTGCATTTGAATGCGCCGCTAGCCTACCATTTATATATAAGATCATTGAAGGTGATTTCAATCTGCCTTCGATTTAATGGCCCATGGGAACCGCTCCTTTGAAAAGCCAAAATCTAATCTCCTGTATCCAAATGAATGATGACTGGGAGCAACACGTCTCTCAACCAACCAGAGGTGAAAGTACTTTGGATCTCATTTTTTCAATGGACATACCTGAAATCAGTGTTAATATTCTTGATGAATTTCCGGGGACCGATCATCGCGTAATCAAATGATGTCTACGACTACGCATGGCCGATGTACAGAACACGATGCATTATCGTCTGTTCAGTTTCGTCAACTGGAACTGTTTCAAGGATCTGGCTCGTTCGATGAATTAGGATAAGTTCTTTCTCTCTTCATGTTCTCAACATGCGACGGACCTGTTTTACAGTATAATTGGCGTCTGCATCGATTCAGCAGTAAAACTAAAATATGCATACCAAACTAAACGTACATCCGATCGCAAGGCGTTGAAGACAGCATGAAAACTTCATAAGATTCGGCAGAAATTCAGGTTAACTGCTGACTTTGCGCTATTATTACGGTAGTCCAAGCTCGTCGAAGAACAGGCGTCGAAATGACAAAACTCTCATTCTAGAAGAGTATAAAGCTTTGAGCGGCCCCAGAAAAACAGCTGAGCTAGCCAAACTATTTCGTGCCCGGGGTTCGTGTTACAGCAACAATTTCAACTTTATCACCATGCTTGATGAGACATACTACGACGCACCAAGTGATATTGGCGGAGCTTTCAGTGCTTATTTTTCCTAATCAATGGCCAATAAATCATCAGATACACCAGCAGTTATCATGTCGCACAACAATGAAGGCCTATGCACAGTGGAATTCACTATAGCGAAAATCACCGGTCAAATCTCTCGCTTATGCTCCTCAACGTGTGCAAGCCTTGATAGGTTCTCCCCTTGTATAAGAAAAAGCAGTGGTAGTGACTTCCTTCTGCTTTTGCTCAATACCTTTACACTCTTTTAACAACAGAGTATACCCTACCCAATGGAACACTTCCGTCGTTATCCCGCGACACAAAAATGGCGCTGCTCACGGGGTTAAAAACTTCCGTCCCATCCATCGTATCTAGAATAATGGAAAGGATAGTGAAAGATGTACAAGGCTATCATCAGCAATTCGCAATACGGTTTCATGCAAGGTCGATCCTGCGCAACGTACCAGACAGACTTTTTAAACCACACAACGTCTGCCATAGACAACGGAAAAAGTGTTGTAATCCTGTTCCTAGATATGCAAAAAGCCTTTGATAGAGTGCCTCAGAAGGTTACTGAACAAAGTGAAGGCTATAGGCATTGGAGAACTGATGTTTTCTTGGCTGTCTTCATATCTGATTGGTAGACAGCAGGTGGTGCGCATCGGCGACCATTTCTCTAGACCGAAAGCAATCACCAGTGGAGTGATTCAAGGGAGTGTTCTTGGTCCTCCACTTTTTCTAATATATATTCATGATGCATTCCAGAGAATAAGAAATAGTGTTACATTTATCTTTGCTGATGACATTAAAGATGCTTACTCACAATTATGTGCAAATACCCAGGAAGCCGCACGTCTCATTCAGGATGACCCATCTGCCCTTGACTCCTGGTGTCAACTGTGGCAGATTTCATTTGACGTGGACAAGAGTAATATTTTGCCGTACAAATGTCAAGTACCGCCAGACAGTTTATTACTACAAGGCGCATATATCTCGTAATGCAGGGCAGTTCGCGACTTGGGCGTGCGATATTCAGTCACGTTTAACTTTTCTGAAAACTGTGACTTTCAAGTTTCGAAAGCCATGAAGACCATCGGTCACATCTGCCATCATTTTTACCTCACGAAATCTCGCATACCGCTTTATAAAACATAAGTATTGCAGTGTAGGGAATACTGTTCAGTGGTCCAGTCTAATCTGCAGAAATCTGATCACCATGCTCTTGAGAGGTTCCAGAGACGCTTCACGAAAAAGCTATGTGGATATTCCTCAAAGTTGACCTACAGAGAGCGATGTGATAAACTTGGCTAAGGAGAATGAAGCTGAAACTGTTTTCTCTACAGAATCATAAACTCTCAAGTTCGCAGTCTTGATAACGGTGTTCACATATCTTTAAATAGCAGATATCCAAACCGTAACAAAAAAAGCTAAAGGACATGATCCCAAAATTTACTACGAGAATCAGAGAACGTTTTTTTCTAACCCACTACTCAAAAATTTGGAACAAACTTCCAAGTGATATCAGAACATGCTATACACTTTGCAATTTGAGCTTGCGATTAGTAAGCATTTAAGCGTTCAAAACGTGATTGAGATGTTCGGGACATCACAGTCCCTAGATAACGCTTTCAAAAACGGTATCGATGATGGCTGAATAAATTTTCCAAACATATACACATAATATTTCGGATAACAGCCCCTTTCATTTCATTTCATTTTTTCTTGGCCCAGACAGCTGCCACGTGATTGTGAGGAATCCTGGCTCAATGGCAGAAAAAATAGCAGAACGATTCTGATTACTTTGTGTTACCTAATTTGAAATTGCGCCCATATTTATTTCTGAAAAAGTATTAATGCATCGTCATGGAAAGGTTGTACCATTCAGGTTTAGGCTTGTTCTCCGAGCCGAACTATTTCGTTTCAGACGTTTCATCACCAATCGAGGTGACTTCGTCAGTGCGTATTAACCAAAAATTGACTGATGAGAGAGTGAACTTGGCCACTTCGATTCACGTCCCATGACCATGGCTAGTTTGCAGTTCGATCTCCGCCTCTTTCAGACTCATGTGGTGAATGACACGCCTTAAATGCACTTTTGCAGTTGTTGATAGATCGGGTCTAAGTCAATGCGCAGGTTTATCGAGTTCACCGTAGAGAACCACACTTCGAGAAATTCTCTTCCTCTTCTTGTCTCTAACCTGCGCTAGGACCTCCGACTTCTCCTAATTCACCACATAAGTCTAAAAGAGGCGGCGATCGAACTGCAAACTAGCAATGGTCATGGGACGTGAATCGAAGTGGCCAAGTTCAAACATCACTCTCTCATCGGTCAATTTTTGCTTAGTACGCACTGACGAAGTCACCTCGATTGGTGATGAAACGTCTGCAACGAAATAGTTCGGCTCGGAGAACAAACCTAAACCTGAACAGACAAACCGAGCTACAGATACCACTTTATTGCAAGGTTGTACCATTATTTGATCTGTTCCTTCTAGGGGACAGCTTCTCGCATCGTCGAAGAATATACAATTTACGGAAGAGCAGTCGGGGAAGTTGAGTGGTATAAGCAGAAATTCGTTGCATGTGACGAATTTCTACCTATAAATATACAATTTATATATTTATTTATATGGTATGGACCGAAAAGACTGCAGACATATTAACAGGTTAGCATGACCATGTTCCGAGATTTGCACCTTTAGCCCAGAAGACGTCAGAGGAATTCTGTCTTATTCTTAAACCCCAATCTCGCCGTGCGGAACGGTGTATGGTCAGCAGAAAGAACTATTTAGAGGGGAACAGCGTTTCAAATGATGTAAAATGAGCAATAAAGATGTTATAGCAAAAGTTCTGTTTCTTTTTGAAAACACGTTGTATAAGGTGCAGAAAATGGCAAAGCACGCTGCTCATCTTTCTTGACAAACTACTATGAAATGGAAATATTTGGCAGAATGAGTAGGCGCAACTGCGTCCACATCATCTGCGTGCAGAGATCGTCACTAACTCACTGAACTTAAGTAAAACCAACCTGCTAACAGTTCAGTATATGTTGTGGCGTAACAAAAGTGAATAAATAAAGAAGGCAAAGCATTGGTCGTTTACCTGCCTTTCCTGAAAACTCTCCAGTCACGACCAAGAAAGTGAAGAACAAGCGCATGCGCCAGGAGCATTTGTCCCGAACGAATCATACAACCCCAGCCGCAATCTGAGGTTTGTATTGACATCGGAATCAAAACCTTGCGATGTGATCGTTTCACGTGGATAAAACTGCTCAGTTTACGCATGATGCGAGCGTTTTTGTCTTGCTTGGTATTCGGTGGATCCGAGAACAGACCCGCTGCAGAGACAGAACAGGATCCATGGTACCCCATTTCTGGTACTTCGAGACAGTCCACCGAGGTTTCTGAGTTCGATTCAATGGGTAAGCTTCGCGACCTTGCTTCCGGAATGTCAGAATTATTCATCTCGGGCATAACTAAATTTTGAACCATCGAAAAGGGCGGCAAAGAGTGGGATTCTAAAGAGCGAGGTTCGTTTGCTGTACATAGCTGTGGAAAGTCGGATCGGTAAGTAAACCATAAACGACTCGCAAAGTCATCGGCGAATTCCGAATATCTACCGTAAGGGGACGACGCTTGTGATGCTATCCACATATTCTTCCCTGTGGTGAGAGAAAAGGTGTTTAAAAAGCAAGACGCTTGCCATGTTATTTAGGAAGTGGGAACGATAAGAAAGTGTGATGCGTACGCAAAATAGATGCCATACTCTCTAGCAACCTCAGGCAAACCGAGGTTAGAACTATTCCACTAAAGGTATAACCGAGGACGCTCGTCTAGGAGAGCACACCGTAAATTTGTGGTAGGAGATAGATAAACAAGCAAAATGGAAGCGACCTGGTACTTTATCAGAGAAATTGTTATTTCTAGCTGGGTTGCTTAACTATCCCCTCGTGGTGTTAGCCAGGTGGTTCGGGACAATTTTGTTCCAGTAAACAGTTCGATGGCGGTATGCCAACATGTAGTAGTCTTTCGCATTGCAAATGTCATTCCCTAAAAAAGGCCACAATGCCTGATCAGTAGCAGTGCCCTGTGGCAGACGGACCACCCCATTAATTAGTCGGAGTAATTTGTTCTATCCAGCTAGAGCAGTATTCTAGCAGATGCAGGATGAAATTACCAGGGCCGGTCTGTGTTTAGTAATACATCAAACCGAGGGAGTATGAACCAAAGAATCAGGCACCAGCTACGATTGCGGACGATTTTTTGACTAGGCTCCGCTTTGTTACGAGTGAGGTACTTGGTAAAACGCTCAGTATGATGTCTCTGAGAAAGAGCCGGCTTGGACAACTGGGTAGCAAACGCACTCGGAACTGCATCATCATCAGTGTTGTACTCTACACACGCACACTCGCACTTTTGACACAGTGAGTGCCGTCTTACTGTAAGGGAGTGGATAGCCCCTCCGGTCTGAGGACCTGCGGCGCTTTCAAGTCTTTAATCACCATTGTGGTGTGGGATGGCACCAGCGTGTCCGAAACGATGATGCGCGTAAGGGAATACTAGACTGTGATAACCAAACGACTAAATTCGTTGCCGTCGGTCCTTCTCGACTTCCATACTGGAGTCCACGTGACACGCCTTGTACTTGGCTTCAGACTTTACAAGACACGGCTCGCAGTGGACACCAGTAGCGTGCCTGCTGTCGTCTCGCATTCGGACTGTGTGCTTAAAGTGTGTTTGGCGCTGAGTTATCGGGATAATGGCTGATTATGACACAGGGCAGCGAAATCCGCAAGCGTGCTGTCTCGCCGATGCCGCCTTATCTTTGCACAATAGGTGGTTGTTTGTGACGGTATGTTGTTAACAAGGTGTAGGCATCTTGACCCTGAATGTTTGTTTAGGATATAAGGGTTTACGCTACGTCCCCTTTCTCTCCCACTTAATGTTCTTCGTTCCTTAGGTCACCGTGGTTGCAGGCCATCGAAGGACCAGCTCAAGTGGCTGATGTACTGTTGTTGATGATGAGCAACATAGGAAAGCGCTGATTCCTTTTGGGCACTCCATCTGTGGTCTCAGCCGATAGTGAAAGCCAGAATATCGGATTTCTCTTAAACTGTCTAATGGTCACCGAGATAACTCAGCAGTCAGGTAGCGATGGACTGCGCTACTTTGTTAGTCTGCAGCTCAAACTGAGTTTGGCAAGTGATGGGGAAGCTTGGTGGTCCAAATATGCTTTGGAGATGGAATTCTAGCAAGGCCTTTGGTCTACCCGTTAAAAGAAGTTTGATGTCAACGATATTATCTGGGCGGCGGATCGAGCATCTCCACTGTAAATTGAATTGCCTCCATCGTTCGCGCGTGCGCGCAGTAATAGTGGTTGACTGTTCTGGGTTGTCTCACTGAATCCAATCAAGGAGGCGAAATTCAGCCATGAGATTCTACACACACAATGATTCAAAGCTCCCGTCCAGATAGATCTCGGGAAGTATACGCGCAAGTGGCGCGGTAAGTAATAACCCACTAATATTTTCTAGACCGAGTGTGAAGAAAAGGTGTCATCCTCCTGGGGCCAGTCAATCCCGATTTTCAAGAGGTGCTTGCATTTCATGCGTCAAACAGAGACTAGTCGCAACTCGGGTACCTACAAGAGATCCATTCTGCTTCATATACTATTCTCAATTTGTGAATCATGCTACCGGGAAGAACAGGCACGCTTCAAATCCGGTTGATGGCGTGCACACCAATCCTGCACAATTCGCCAGCTTCTCGCAAACCTCCACCTTTATTAATCTTATTGTCTGTTTTCTAGATATTATCGCCTCAGCTGAGCATCATGCCTTGGTGTATCTAACAAGGTGTTTTGGACAAACTTCCTACACTAACCGCTGTCAGTTAAAGTGAACGACAAGTATGCCCTATGGCCCAGTTCCTCTACCGAGAAGCCTGAAAGGCAGTCGAAATTTAAGGTCACAGACTCCTCTAGGTAATCGTGATACCAGCCTTGTTTGGGTTGGTGATATTGCTTTGTTCCATCATGACCCTAAGAGTGCGCAAATACTGTTGGACCATTTTTATAGTTGATCATCTGTGTATGTGCTCCGCTCCATCGAGGGGCCAAGTGGTGCCCCAGGATTGGCACTCAAATGTTTCCGTGCTCACACACAAACCTTGTACAGACACATAGCTTTGCTAAGATGAGCAGCTGCATTCATTCATTCATTCATTCATTATACATGATAGCTAGAGGTGGAAAACACCCTAGCTACAGTGCCGCACTTTTTTGGTAGTGCTATGAACCGTCAAAGCCCAGTCGACGACTCCCAATCAGAGGCACTTGTCGTGTCGTCGGGACATCCCCTTCTCTGTAAAAGGGCTGTGTTTACAGCGCGCATATTCGAACAGCGCATGTATGATATGCACCAGTCTTCACTCTTCGATAACTGGAGCCTGAGGAGCATCGGTCGTGTGTTGTGACAAAACCGAGTTTGCAGTGACGAAATTAGACGTTGTCTTGGGATGTAAAAGCATTCCATTCAAAAAGGATAGCACCCTGCGGTTGTCGAGATGGCTCGCTTAGGAGTTAAAGTTGCTACGTTTACCAAAAGTGCGGAGTCGCGTCTGTATAGACCGCGGGTTGTCAGCCCTCAACTTGGTGTGATGCCGCCTCCCTGGTTAGATGAGCAAACGACGAGCAATGTCAGTAACTGGAAACGCGAAAATAGAAAGAGCACTGCAGTTGAACAACTATGGTGCGGGGACCAAAGTGCGGTGGATCCAGTTTCCACGATGCATATGGCCATAATAACAATAACTGACAACGGGAAGAAAACGAAGTTGAATGCAAACAGAACGTAAAAAATAGAAGTAAGAACAAAGTGTGTTAAACTAATCGGGATGAAGTGAAAATTAACAGCCAGATGCAAAAAACGAATGCAGGAGCGCCATTGACTGCGTCATGTCTAATAGGGTCTCCAGCCACTGATGTGGATCATTCGGGGGACTCCCAACAACTAAGACGATATGCACCAGTCTGACCAAGTCGCTCATCAGTTTCTTCATGCTTTTATGCTAAACCATTAAGTACATGTCTTCGCCAATGTCAGTAGGTAAGATTAAGCAAACACTCGAATGAGGAACCAGGTTTCTTGTCAAAAACCAAGTGGCGGACCTTACCAATGCTCACCAGGTGGTCCCACCAGATGAGTAATATTCCGCAAGCGCCGCCGATCAAACATAGCCAAGCGTTGAATGTCTTCATTGAGAACTGACCAGGGCTCTGATTTATATGGGAATATCGGCTTTATCGTAGCGTTGTAAGCCCTACATTTTACTGACAAACTGATATCTCGCCGTCTGCATAGGTGGTTGAGCCTCTGGGGAAACACAAAGGCTCTGCAAGTGTGCGCAAAACCTCCTCAGTGATGTGATCCTTGGATGCTAAAAAGTGAATGGATCCAGGTTATAATTAGAACAGGTGATAATCTGTCGTCTTGTAACACGACTCCGCCCTGTGAAGATGCAGAGCACATTCCGAGGCGTACAGCGTTCCGTAACAGTCTGTCCAGTAGTGTTTGTAAAACCACTAGGTCAGACTCAAGGAGAGCAATGTCATCGGTGCTGACGAAAGCAGAAGAATATGTGTGTGCACTTACCTAGATGCATGTATTTTGTACTAAAAGCACTGAGAACGAAATCAGGAAAATAGTGAATAAATGAAATTGGTTATTCCGTGATTCTTGATAGCCCTGTGGAAATCATACGCATATATGGTTGGTGGCTTCCGGTTCCTGATTCAACTATGACTGCGCGCAGTCACAAGACCCACGTGTCTACTGAGAGACCATGAGTGTCTGGAGCTGCAACATCCCATATCTAGTGTAAACTCGAAGGAATAAGACCAGGAGGCATGCTGATGGGAGCAACATTTCATCAATTGAGCCAACTCACACTACTACGTGCAAAGCAGCAGCATCACTGTTCGTCTAATTCAGGAACCATGCGTACCAGACATATACAACGCAGCGTTTGGGACTTAGTCCGCTCCATACCGGAGGCGAACACTCAAATATAGCACGGCCACGAGGACCATGCACCCTGTACCCTAATTAGTAATCTTCTGGAGCCAGTAATCGAGGTAGGTGTTAGGCAGGCACTTGATCAACATTCATATTAAGCACAGCCACAATCGACAGAATTTGACAGAAAATAAGCACACAAAATTGATACGGAATGTGCAGCAGAATAACAGAACCGAGCAAATCAAATAAGGTGGAATACATTTAATTTAGGCTAAGAATATCCAGCTAAAGTGCAAGTCGATTTAACCCAATTGCGGTGAAAAGCATTAACCTCAGCATGTATGTATGCACAGCGTACCTTCAATTACAAAGCTTTGTGAAAATAATGTGGATGACAAACCGAACTTCAGTGCGGGATATAAACCCGGTAATTGTCATGCAGCGGGCAGTGATGCGGTGCTCAGACACACCAAAAACTGGTCACCAAGGAGATAGCAAGCAATCCGTCATCTTAAACGGTGAGGGCGTTCGAGATGTTTCATCTACTGTGCACAAAGTACAGCTAATTTGGATAACAAACTGAAAATACCGAGGAAAGTATTAAAAGGTTTATCAAATGGAAGCGCATACATTCCCAATTTCAGTGGCAAAGTAAAGAGGGAATGGTGGCAAACTAAAGTTATGACAACACTCGTTTGTTCACCGTTTTTTGTTTGATAGGATCGCCCGAGAAGATAGAGAACCGAGTCCGGGGGGAACGTTGGCCAAATCTGAAAAGTCCATCCAAACTTCAGTTCATTAACAGCAGCCCTTAAATGATCTGATGGAGAAAAAAAAGTTCTGGTAGCAGCAGCCGGCGTAGTTAGAGCATCCATCTGGTGGTCGTCTCCAAGTTCAGTGAAACTTGAGATACTAGTTTCACATTTTACAGAGGCACCAAATATAAACCATGGGCACCTGGAATGGAGAGTAGGAGAGTGGCCAGCATATCACACTGACAGAAAACAATAATCGGCGAGATTCTTGACGTATGGGTGGATTAGGCACAAATCACAAATCGGTCAAAAGATCACTGATATAGAAGACGACAGAAGCGAGTTCAGAGAGTATATTGCTAGTGAAGTAAATATCAATACAAGTGTTTATTTCCGGGAACAATAGGCGTATGGAGCATGCCCCGTGAAACAACTTGCGAGTCAGGGGCGGAGTCGATGGGGACATTCCTTTCGATGTGATACTGTTTGGCTATGTCGACAAGAGCCTGCGAGTAAGCAAAAATTTCGGACTTACAGCAAAGGTCCTCGGTTCGTAAATCGCCAACGTCTGCAGCATATTACGGTTAAGCAGAATATTTGTTTGAGAGAGCCCTTCAAGAAGAACCTCCGGGTCACACAAGCCACATTGCTCGCTGGCTATTGCTATGCGGGTATTCCAGATACTCCTGGCATCTGCTTTGTGAACATCCCTCAGAGTGCGAACATACTGCAATGCTTTGTAGACACGATGGATACCCAGCTTTGGGCAACGTGCAGACCGGCCCCTATATTTCTACAGGATGACTGATAGGATGTAAGTGACATACGAAGGCGAACTTCATCCATTGATTTGTCTTGTACCACGGATCTACTTCGGCGAATGATAAGACCTTGCGGATGAACAGAACACCGGTCAGCCTCATCGTCTTTGTAGTAGGAGTCCGGTAGTGAATTCCAATGGCCTCCGTGTCAAGCGTGTACGTAGGTTGTAATGGGTCTTGGGAGCTGCAATGCAAAGCAAATACCTCGTAAGCAGTTGTATGCTCAAAACACAACCCCTTAGTAAGAGACCACAGTAAAGGAAAAGTGAAAGTAAAGAGAACAGAAAGAATCAATGGCCGTCGACCCGAGGTACAACAATCTCCATACAGTTTGGGTTCACTATAAGGTCACGCTCAGAACTGCAAGATTATCCCCGTTGTTAACAGACGTCCTCAGCGCCTACGGAAGATCTAGTCAGTCTCGAGCTGCTAATGTAGAAAACATCTGATGAATGCAGTGCGCTCGGTTCGAAAGATTCCGCAACAAGCAGTGGTCACAGGAAAGTCAATGATAGCCTCAATGGCAACGAGCTAGCTATTGGGACTGTTATTGGGAAATGGCAGGTAGCCGAAGATGTAGTATGTATCCGGTCGTGGATTCCAAGGGCTTCCGTGTTTAGCATGTGGTTGGCGGCATCCGGTTTCGGATTTGCCTGTCACTGTGGTCAGCCACAGGACGCCTGAGCCTACAGTGGGACCATGGGTGGCTTGCGCTGCATCACCCACAGCTCCATCCACACACCCCATATCCAGTGCAAAACCCGAAGGAATAAGACCGGGAGGCATGCGGATGGGAGCCACGTTTCATCAACGGAGCCGGCCCACACTCCTTCACAGGCAAACACAAGCACGCTGTATTTGGGAATCAAGCGCACACAAGGCGGTGGCTGGACCGTAGTCCGCTCCACACTCACTGCATGGAACCACTCTTTGATCTTAACACGGCCACAAGGACCGTGCACCCTGTCCCCTCCAGCAACGACCAACTGTCTCCTGGAGCCAGTATGGACGAGCTAGTGGGTAATAGACAGGTAGGCACCTTGTCAACATGCACATCAAGCGCAGCCTCACCGGGGATATCAAGCAACAGCCAATCACCTGAAAGAAAGATAACAAAGAAAATAAATCGAGTAATACATAAGGAAAGGGTGACATATATCTTAAATTAATGAGCATCTGAAGTAAATTGTTTACAGAAGAATGCAAGATAAGTTCACGAGGACAGAAAGTATACTTTACGGAAATGCCACGAACACAGAAATGTTTTCGAAAAGGACTAGAATTGGCTTAAGTGACGTGTGCAAGCTTATAGAAGAGAGTACAGGTAGACATTTATATGAGAAAGCAAAGCATTGTGACAAAATTGAAAACCCACCACCTGAAATAAACAGACTTAGCACGCAAGAAAACGGTGACATAAATCTTAAATTAGTGAGCATATAAATAAGTTGTTTACAAAAGAATACGAGGTAAGTTCATGAGGTCAGGAGGTTTATTTTACGGAAATGCTACAAACACGAAAATGTTATCGAAATAACTACAAGTGGCTTAAGCGACGTGTGCAAGTGTATAGAAGAGAGTATAACTAGGCATTTATATGGGAAAGAAAAGCTTAAGGGCAAAATTGAAAACCCACCACCTGAAATAAAGAGAGTTAGCATGCAAGCACGCGGTCAGTAAATCGAATGCAGCGCACCTACAAACGCTGCGCCGGTTCTGCCTACGTTCTCTGCAGAACTCGTCGGCGCTTCGGTAGTAGTCCCGAGTGGCCTCGTTCATGGCTCAGTAGGCCTGCCTGACTCAGGCACTCGCGACCGCATATTCTACAGCACCATGCACTCGATGTCGATGGAGTACAATCCATCGGTTCTTGCCGCTTCCGCACTTGCCGCTTCTTCTCTGCATGCATGAGGTCTTTCTCCCGCACTTCAGCAACTGCCTTCGTGATCAGATCACGCCATACGCGCCGATCAACCGCTTTCGATTCCCATGACCTGCAATCAAGATTAGAACGTGTGAGGCTCACTTTGATCATGTCCTGGTAACGTAACTTTGGTTTCCCAGCATGCCGCTTCCCAATACTCAGCTGACCGTATAAAAGTTGTTTCGGTATCCGAGTCGAATCCATACGCCACACATGACCGAGCCATCTCAGGTGTCTCAGTAAAAGTATGCAGTCCACTGCATACATCCCACTTCGGCGCAACACTTCCGTGTCTGAAACTCTGGCGCCCCAACCGATGCGCAAAATCCGTCGCAGACACTGCTGATGGAACCGCTCGAGATATCGCACATCCCGACAGTACATCGTCCACGTTTCACTGCCGTATAGAAGAACGGACAGTACCATGGATTTGTACACCATCAGCTTTGTGCCAACGGTAAGCTGATGGTTGTTCCACACTCGGTACTCAAGCTTCCCGAATGCCGCTGCTGCCTTAGACACGCGAATACGCAGCTCACAGTGTAGCTGCTGGTTAGTCGATATCACACTCCCAAGGTAGCTGAAGCGGGAGGTGGTTTCCAATACTTCAGCACCAATGCTGATTCGCGGCAATATTGAAGATTGCACCTCCGGTGAAGGCTGAAAGAGACAGACAGTTTTGCTTGTGTTAATGGTGAGCCCGAATTTGGCCGCTGTCGAAGCCAGAGCACTAGTCATGTGCTGCAACTCATCCGCGCTGTGTGAAAACAACGCACAGTCGTCAGCAAACATCAACATACGGATAGTTGTCTCACAGACTAGAGTTCTCGCACCGAAACGACGGATGTTCAGCAACCCACCATCAATACGGTGCTCCACACGAACACCGTAAGCACAAGCCGCATCAAAAGCACAGGACAACATTGCATGAAGATAGATATTAAACAGGGCAGGAGCTAAGACACAGCCTTGCTACACACCAGAGACAACTGCAAAGTCATCCGAGGCCTCTCCACTCAGCTGCACCCTCGCTCGCATACCACTGTGCAGACATTCAATTAAACTTACAAACTTACGCGGGCAACCAAACTTATCCAACACCAGCCACAATGCCTCACGGTTCACCGTATCAAATGCCTTGGTGAAATCAACAAAAAGCGAGTACAATGGCTGGTGTCGTTCTCTGCACTTCTCTTGCAACTGATGAGCCGCAAACACCATATCTATAGTGCTGCGACCCGAACGGAATCCGCATTGCTCTTCCGCCATGTTAGGTTCCATAACCTGACTGACGAGGCGGTTGAGCAAGATTCGGGCAATCACCTTGCCCACACAACTCTGCAAGTTGATGCCATTAACATTTATTTTTGACATTTGCATGCATGGCTCGAGGGATGAGCTGTACAGCAATATGCCAAGAGAGGACGAATGTCCCGGCAGAATAGGAAACACTGATTGAAATAAAAAAACTTCAAACAGTGGTCGGAACCGCGTCAATTGTCACCGTGTGGGATTGGGTGCATGTTATGTAAGGCGTGATGATGCACCACGCATGTAGGTGTCGTAGACCTTCAGAGTCAGACGAAGAGTAGAAACACAGAGGTCAGAAATATCAAGTGATGTCATCCCGAGTGCGGTAAGATGTTTGGCTGAGGTGGAACATATCATCCCTCGATTATTGATAACGACGGGGTGGTGAACAATATTTGTCGTCTCAGGAAACTGTTCACGTATGTATCGCGATATGGCTGCGGCATTCTCCCCTGATCCGTATTTATCCACTTTCAATTTATAAGTACAATCCATTCGGTACGCGTCACAGATGGCCACGTCCACAATGTGAACCGTAGAATTTCTAACCGCAAGCAGGTCTGGCTTGATGAAGGAGGTGGCTGTCAGAATCCTCGGCTCCATAACAATGTTAATGCTTCGGCGCCGCAATTGCCTGGCAATCTGTTGGGCAATTTCATTGTGACGTTTACAGCGGACATCATGCGTGATGCAGCACGCCTGAAGAACATGTGACAGAGCCTCTTTCTGTCCGCAGCTCCAGCGGCAGTTGAGAGAAGCCGGGCCATTTGTAGATCTGCCTCTGCTCCGTCGCGTTTTGGTAGAAAGAACACCCCCCCGTAGTTGGACACCCCGTATGAAAAGACGTGGAAAAATCCTGGTGGGGTCCCTCAGCCAGTGGTGAGCGGAAGGTGACGTGACCACATTTCGCAAGGAAGAGCCATCCACTGAAGCAAAAAAAGCATCTCTCCAGGCTTCCGCAGCTGAGCTTTTATCCATGACAACGCGATTACCGATGGTAACAGTGGAGCGCGCTAGACGATGGATGGCAGCGGCTGCAGGGTCCCGGATCGCCCAACTGGTCACTGGATGGCAGTTGGCTAGGTGTCGTTCCAGCCTCTCCTTCCGTAGCAGGGGAATACTCGTTGACAGACATGGAATACCCAAACCAAAGCTCACAATGGGAGCGTGAAGATATGCAATGGAGGTGTCTGACGGCAAGCGCAGCCATTTTCTGACGTGTGATCTGACAATGCGATCCAACCGCTTCAATGTATTCCGGTGAACCACTGCCAGAGCTAACTGATGAACATGCTTGGGGAGCAGATAGGTCCTCAGAATCTCAAGTCGTTGTTATGGTTTGAGCGGTGCCTTGGTAACTTCGTTAAGTTGCACAGTAATATCGTCGATTACTGTTAGAGGGAGCTTACCCTTCCAGTTAAAACGCAGGCCCAACATCTTGAACTTTTCATCGGGCTGAATGGAGGGAATAAAAATAGGACCACAGTCCAAAGCATTCGTATCCAGTATGGTTCGTTTGCGAGCGCCATCAACAATTATATTTACCGAGAAAGATTTTAGATGGTTGATGTTGAGGCCGACGCACTGCAGTCGTTGATGGAATCGCTGAAGGTGATCTCCCAGAGAAATGCGGTCTTGAGCAAAGATAACCACGTCGTCCGCGTAAGCGAGGTACTCAATCGGGCCAGCCGGTGATATCCAAGGGGAAGTGGCGACTCCGTGTAAAACTTCATCTAGGGACATTATGAAGAGCAAAGGCGAAAGCGGATCTCCTTGCCGGACCCCTCTATCAGGATGAAGCTTGACATCATTAAAGATTGAGGACGCGGAGCTGTAATACGATGCCAAGTAATCTAATAGTAGCGGGGGGCTCCGAAAGCAGCTGCTGCTCGAAGTAAGGAGTGGTGAGAAATGGAATCGAACGCCTTCGAGATATCCACTGCCGCAAATGAAA